CGCACCTGACTTGTATAAGTGAGCTTCCCTTTCAGTATCGTACAACATTCCCCCAGTGACATGACCTGTCTTTGCACGCGTTAGCCCTGGACGCAACACGAGCCAGCACGGCGCTGGTCCAGCGACATCGGAGGGCCTCTCCTGCACCAGGTGCGAGACGGCTAGCAGCCGGAACGAAACAGACCACGGGGGCCACACAGGGAATGCTGTTTTCTGCATCATGGGAAGCTTGTGTTCTAACACGACAGGATACTTACGCTATCTCCTCTCTCCCAGTGGAGGCGCCATGCCTGTGGACACTCGGCGGCAGTCACTCACTATCAAGTTTTAGCAGAGAAGGTATTTTTTCGTAAAAAATAACGCTTACATTTAGGGAGCTGTAAAATGTGATCAGGAACAACCACTGGTTTTCTCCGTTTTGCATACTTTCTGTGCTCTAACAGACATGCCTTCACCTAAAATGCCACGCTGCTCTTCCCCAGGTAAAGGCGGGCTAGTAGCCAAGCACCCAGACAAGGCAGTGTGCACACACACACCAAAAACACACGCTTTAGTTTGGATTATGGTTTTAGTTCTGAGCTTTAAAAAACCGAGTAAAACGATATTTTCAAAAGGATAAAAATACCTTCACTGTGTTCTTTAAAGAGGGGTGAACTGAGAAGTTAGGACCTTGCATTCAAGAGTCCTTGCTCCCTCTGAGATGCTAAAGGGGACACAGCAAACGAACCAGTGACCACAGGCACTCAGGGCTGGTGCGAGGCACCACCCCATCGCTGACCCATCCTGGGTGCGCACAACTCCATCCCCAACGTCCCTCTGAGGCGGCAGCCCAGCACAGATGACCAGCCCCGCTCCATCCTGCACAGCTGATGCCCGCAGAATTTCCGTGGCATCTGTGAGTCTCTCCCACTGACACAGGACTTGAAGATATACATACAAGGGAAAGAAAAACAGGCGGGTGCCAAGTCTGGGCAGTAACTCATCTATAAAAGGCAAGGTTTTTGATCAGTAAAGAGATGAACTGTATGAGGACCACCTGAGCGGCCCAGAGGCCCTACAACATGGCCTCCCGCCCTCTGCTCTGACAGACAGTGGCTTCCCTACGGCGTTCCCACGTGTGAGACTCTGATACGACCCAGCAGGGTTATCTGAGCACCGAGTGTGAGGCCCCAGCACGGCCCAGCAGGGTTATCTGAGCACCGAATGCAAGGCCCCGACGCAGCCCAGCAGGGTTATCTGAGCACCGAGTGCGAGACCC